AAAAAAAAAAACAAATACAAGAGTTGATGTGCAAAAATATGATATCGAAGCTTATTTTTCGAATTATAACCGATTTAATTGCCTATCGGATGAAGCGAGACAGATAGATAGAAAGGCAGTTTTATCTCTGTCTATTTCCGTTTTATGTTAAGCGCGAAGTTAAGAAGTTAACTTCATAACTCGAAAAACGAGTTTTAACGAGTCTTTCTTAACATATCTTTGCATATGAAATTTCGCGTTTGTTTTAATCTCTACAATCTACCGTTTAAATTTTCTACTCCATTTCGTTCGAACACATCTTGAACACATATTTGCATATTTTTATTTCCATCCCACTCTAAGACGTGTAACTGTAATTCAGAGATTCAGAAACTTCGCTTACTTCGTATCGGTGTCGTGAAGATCGCCTTGAGGAAAATGCAACACCACCCACCATTTCCAATCGGGGTGGCCACCACCTACGATAATCGTAATCGCACTACTTGCGAATCCTTCTCTCTGTTGACTGCCTGAGAGAGTTGAGAGTACGTCCTGGTGGGGCTATGCATTTTCACGGTGGCATTTCGCGTGATTTATCGCGGCGCCGGGTGGCGGGAAAGTTGAGTAAAAAAAGGATACGCTTTTCCTTCTTTGTCGAGAAAAGCACACTTTTTCACCGGATAAAAAATTTCATACCGTTACCGTGTACTGGGAATTAAAGAAAATAAAAAAAGAAAAAAAAGAAAAAAGAGAAAAGAGGATAGGGGCGGGAGGGGGGAAACAAGATAAAAAGAAAAATGATAAAACGAGAGGGGAAAGAAGAGTGAAAATATCGGGCGAAAATAGTTGGCAATTCCACGCTGCTGGAACTTTTGCAAAAGATTTTTGCTACGATGCGCGCCATTCCACGAAGCTTCTATTTTTGCTGGAAACTTTCATGCCTGGTTCCCTGAACGCGGTGATTTGTGAAGGTTGAAACCAACGGACCGTGCTTTCGTATGAATTAAACTTCTTTTTTTCGTCTCTCTCTCCCTCTCTCTCTCTCTCTCTCTGTTTGTTTTACACAAAGTTGAAGGAACTCGAGCCACGCGCGATATTTCGATCGGATAAAACGACCTGTTCGATTCGATGACTTCTCCGAAAACGAAATTTATGCAAAGACACTTTCACACACGAACCTCTACGTGGACGAAAATTATTGGAGATTCTCATGGAAGATCGTAAAAAAGAGAGAGAGAGAGAGAGAGAGAGAGAGAGACGTATCATTTTATTTTCAAATGAGACGACAACCTTGTTCCTCGGAATATATTTACAACAAGTGTTCTCAAGAGATAAGTAGAGTTTAAGAGATACACGGATAGAGATAAGCGGGGAATCAGCTCCCTAAATAAAATCAACCCTCAGATTTGTTCAATTCCTCTCAGGGTTGGAAAGAACGGAAAGGATACGGAGAGAAAGAAATTCGGTGGTGTCCTACCACCGAACGAGCTAATCCCCCGTTGAGCCACTGAACTTTCCAAAATGGATCCATCCACTAAATCTCGCTTACCTTAACCCACCATTTTCTTTTATACACCAAGTTTACAAAATTCGCGGGGAAATGACAAATTCGCGCAATATCCCGAGAGAAAATTTCCGTGTTTCGTTTTCGCCGCGCGCACCTGGAGGAAGAGATTGATAACCTGGCTCGGGATAAAGTGAATCGCGAAAGCGTTTATAAATATCGAAACGAAACACGGCAATAAACCGACGCGATAAAATGAATTCCTCGTGAAGGAAGGGAAGAAGAGAGAGAGAGAGAGAGAGAGAGAGAGAGAGAGAGAGAGAGAGAGAGAGAG